AGTCTATTAGCCCTACTGTGTAAAAAAAAACAAATTGGATTTCAATAGGATACAATTCTGACGTAAATTAAGTTTCTGAGGTGACAATAGCATCAGGATTTCCTATATTTATCTCCGTTTTGAGCTCCACCATTTATTATGCAGGCTGCGAGCAATTTGCATGTCTCTTCTACAATTTTTTGAAGAACTTTCTCTTAGCATCCAGAGTGGATTGGGAATCGTTTATCTCCGCATTTTTACAGTGTGAAAACCCATAAGTTTAGGGTTGTTTTCACCGTTCCGGTGGCACTCAATTAATCATACCTGTGCTGATCGCCTAGGCTGGGTTACTCACGGACATATATACTTGATCCAGTCAGTTTGACTGAGTTTTTAAGTATTCGGTTTTTCATAGCCGAAGCAAAGGAAACCTTTCAGGTGCGGATTTTCTGCATACTTTCCTATTCCACCATGTCCTGATCCCATTAAGCTTACAGATGCCAACTCCTGCTACTGTTTTCGGGAGTAGCTTCCTTATTAAGGACCAAATGTCGCTTAGGTTTTGTTTAAATCTAGCTTTTGATTCCTTTTTGGCAGATTCTCTTAATTTATGAAAAATGACTGACCTGTCAACACATTCCTTTTTTACAAACTGAAGAGTTTTGTCTTCTGAAATGTTCTCATCCCTGAAGTTTGATTTGGCTTCATGCTCAAAAGTCTCACACTATTTTCCCATTTTTCTGAGTGTCACTGCAAGCCCTTCACTGGGTTTATTATATTTCTTTATTATAACATCTACCCTAATCGTGCTTTTTCCTTAATGGTCTGTTTTTCGTTGATATGTGGATCCGGAGCTAGAACCGTCCAACCATATCTTAGACCTTCTTATAATTTGTTTCTACCAAATATGCTTTTTCATTTTTCTGGTAACCATGTCTATATGAGTGAGTTTGTTATTCACCACGCTATCGAGAACCATCTTCATGGTTTCATCCCAATACAAAGCTGACTCACGATAACGCTCGCTGCTTTCTCGAAAACTGATCATCTAAGAGCACCGTTTTAGCTATATTCAGACACCCTATCGTCTCAAGAATCAACAGAGACTTTGTAGAACAGTACGCTTTGCACAGCCAACGTGATAGTGGCTTGCAGCACCTTTTATATTCAGCTAGTGCGGTTCCAGTGCTTACGTTGCGATACCACTTGCTGCAGTTGTCACACTGCATCTCATCATCGACAGGGAAAAAGCAAGCAGTCTGCCACAATGATGTTTTACTTGCGCAATAAAGTTGTTTGGCGATTTCACAGAGAGGACAACAAAAAATTGATTTCTACAGTAAGTGTTTTCTAAGGCTTTAAAGGGTGATGGACACTGGGCACAAAAAGATAAGGTTTATAATTTACTGTAACTGAAAACCGAAATCCGACTTTAAAAAATAAAAGAAGCTTTCTCATCTTTGAATAAAATCAACACTAAAAGATTTGCTCAACAAGGGAAAATACTACTATCCTTTTTCTACCTGTACTCAAAAAGTACAGACTATGTTATGTTGACAAGTTATGTTGATGGAATTTCGCTCTCGTAGCTGGATGATTCGGTCGCGAAGCACAAAATCATGCACCTTAGCTACAAATCTTCTCTACCATCTCAAGATGATAAATTACTTTGGAATAGAAAACGAAACTTCAGTTGAAATTAATTCAATCAAAGAGAAAATAGTAGTTTTGATACGTAATATGAGGTCAATACTTTAAAATTAAATGGGTGATGAAAAATACCACTGTTCTTTAAAAAAAGCTCGATCGGTAGATGCAGTAGGATTTCTGAATACCAGCAACTATCAAATTTTTATGCAGGAGGTAATGAGCAACTAACTAAGAGGCGCAGATCGGCAAAGCACGAGAAGCATATCCACAGTCGAAGAACATCTGGAACTCAAAACAACGGTCACCCAACACGAAAGTCAAAATTTTCAATACAAATGTCAAGACAGTTCTAATGTATGGGGCGGAAAGCCATCATCCAGAAGATACAAGTGTTTATTAACAGTCGCTTGCACAAAATACTTCGGATCTGTTGGCAAGACATTATCAGCAATAACCTACTATGGGAGAGAAGAAACCAGATTCCATCAGAGGAAGAAATCAGGAAGAAGCGCTAGAAGCAGATAGGACACACGTTGAGGAAAGCACCTAACTGCGTCACAGGGCAAGCCTTTATTTGGAATCCTGAAGACCAAAGGAGAAGATGAAGAACATAGAACACATTAATCCTAGAAATGGAGACAGACATGAGAAGAATAGACAAGAATTGGACAGAGATAGAAATGAAGGCCCAGGTCAGAGTGGCTTGTAGAATGTTGGTCGTCGGCCTATGCCCCATTTTTTCGCATCGGATATGGAATTCATTAGAAGTGACTAAATAATGAGGATGAATGACATTTGATTTGATGTCATCATGGTTTGGTTCTTCTGAGACATTTTCTTGATATTCATCAAGAATCTCATTAGTCGATAATGGATCACTAGAAAAACCAGTATCTATAATGGTTGCATTAAATTTTTGATCATCATTTGATCCATCCGAGATAAGTTTTTCATTTTTATAAAAACTTTCATCAGAATTATGTGAATCATTATAAGGACTCATATCTAGTAAATTGACATGAAATATCGCATAGGAAGTTGGTTCATCATCAGCTTCTGTTTTCTCAAGACTTTGAGTTTCATTTGGTACAACTGTAATCATCGTACTGCTCCAATTATTTTTTGTATGTTAGTCCCTTCGGGTTTCTTGACCAATATCACATGAAACAATCTTTTGTTGCTGGGATTTATTTTCAAAGTTAGACAGGACCAATAGTGCTTCGTCTAATCCTGGACTACGAGCTTTATTTGCAAAGTGTGTTTCTTGATTATCCGATATTGTTACAACTTCATGCGCATTTAGTAAGATATTGTCTTGTTGTGAGCCGGACAATTTAACAATTTTACATTTTGCTTCAGATATAAGGGGATTTAAAACCCTTCACTTTCGTCGTACCGACGTTGTTGCAGATGGAGTTCATGACACGATCTATTAGCTTCAGTCTATCTATCCAGTCAAGTCTCAATAGTCGAGTGTTGGACGTTCTATCCCCAACACAATTAATCTCCCTTCGTCGGTTATTGTTAACCTTGTTAGGTTGATGTAACAACCAAACATCAAATATTTCGTCTGATCTCAGAAAATGACACACCATGCCAATATTTATTCGATCATGCCAAACTACTGCGTTCAGTATACAAAACCTTTTGATTCGCTTGTAATCAATAATCACACCAAAATTGTAAGTAACTTATACGATACTTCTAGAATAAAAAATTCTATCGAAAGATAAAAAAATACTTCAACAATGACGCTCGTCCACTATACCTTCCAAAGTTTTTATGGTATGAAATATTGTACTACACGGCAAAAGATGTTTAATAAACGCGATGCTAAGAACTTTAGAATTCACAAAGTATGGTGTTGCGTTTTATTTGAGTGACTCTCTAAGTTTCAGTGATTCACGTTATTCATCTGTATGTCGTATTAGTGTAAAATCAGACAAATCGTGTGACAGACAAATCATTCAAATCCTATTGGTTATTTTTGCATATCTCCATACATCAATGTTTGTTTATTTCCTAAACAGTAGTGTTTTCATCCTCAAATAATTAATCACTATCACGATTGATGAGCACACATCCAAAAATCGAGAATAGAAAACAATGCCATTGACCCTCACAGATCATCGAAAGTGGAATAAACGACTAATGACATGGGATAAGAGTTTATTCCTCAAATGACAAGCTTTAATGACTTGTTGCAATGACCACTATCCAGTAGCAATACTAACCACAAGTGTCTACAAGTTCATAATGTTAATGATAATTATTATTATAGATAAAATTAGTTCGTCAACGGGATATTACCACTAACACCTTGCTCCAAAAATGATTTGCAAAAATATCAGGCACTATACTCGGCACGACTAGAGTTACCAAGATGAATGTATGCGACACAAGGGATCGAATATAAATACGAACAAGTAAAATCAGCTGTCCCCGTAACACAACTTTGATGAGCATCTACGAATGTATCCGTTCATTTAATTTTTCAGTTTATTAGTGTTTGTCTTTCTAAATGTATCTGTGATGTGGTAGCTATAGTCTATTTTTCACTTTTACACCGAATCATGCTGAAAATGAAAGATCTGGCTCAATGTACATTCATTTGGGTCTTTAGCTATTTGCTATGACTTGAACACTTTGAATATAAGATTCCGGCTACACTTTGTATTTGACTTTCCATACCACCGTTGTCCAAAAAGAGCTAAAGTATCATGTATAAAATTTACTATGTTATTTATATTTCGGGTGAAATTAACTACAGGCATCAAATATTCACGTCTTTCTACACTGTTACTTATAGCTTCAATCATTCTTTGCTGTTTATGAAGGAATACACAAGGTTCTAAGGCACTGTACATTGTTTTAAATCAGTTTATATTTTTAAATAAATATCCAGGAATCAGGAACTAGATTTCGCGTTAGTCTTTCATGTTTATATTTCGGACAACAACATTATCCTGTTCACGAGAACCAAAACAAGAAGATTACCAGAAGTTTGGAATTAGAATTCAATATCTTAAAGTGTATTCAATCTGTTTCGTAATACGGATTATGCTTCATAAATAGTCTTAATTGTGATCAAGTATTATTTATTTTCAGTTAATTCAAGTACCTATACTATGACAGGTACTTTGATCACCTGCACTAAATTTCGATTGGTTAACTGACTCTCAAAATCTACTGGCTATAAATAATACTTCACATAGAAAATAAAAACAATAATTTTGTGCATTTATCTAAGGATTTATGATATTTAATATATTGTGGATAACACATTTATGATGTAACATAGTTTTAATTTGACTTATTCAAATGAATGTTCACAAAAATACTAAGTGATAGCATAGTAACTGTGTATCATAATGTGGATATCTATTAATTTTATGATATTACTGCTTAATTATTTGGTTACGGTAAGTCAACTAAACTGTTAATTCACTTAGTATTATTTCTTTGTATCTTCCCATTGATGTTTAGGACTGCAACTGGTCAGTCTCTTATTGGCCATATGTACATACTGTACGTATTGCCTCGATATAGCTTTAATTCACAAGCGTTATAAACAAAAATATATCGTAACTAGCAGTGGAATCCAGTTTGACAAGCGTTTCGTCATATTTGTGTCTCGTCAGCTGGATGTACCTGCATCTCAGAGTTGATGTTTACTCTGGAACTCGAATTCAGTACCTTTCAATGGGAAGATTCAAACAAACAATACTAAATGAATTTAAACTTCACCACCATCGCACAGGCAAATGGCTACCGGGACTCGGTGGCCGAGTGGATAACGCGATGGCATTTGAAGCAAAAAGTACTGCGTTCGAGTCCCAGAGTGAACATCAACTCTGAGATGCAGGTACATCCATCTGACGAGTCCCAAGTAGGACGAAACGCGCGTCCTGGATCCCACTGCTAGTCACTATCCATCTTTGCTTACACTGTTAATTGTTAGTAAAAGTAGTTAAATTCATCAAAAAATAATATGTTTTTCTGCAGTTGAACATTTCATCTTTGTATAAAATACATCAAGTTGTCAGATTAGTCTGAATTCAGTCGGTCAGCTACAACATAGAACCAGGCACATATATGCATAGGTCCAAGTTGCCATACCTCATTAGTACAACAAGGTGAACACCAAATTCACAGAAGTAGTTAATTTAATGGTGGTAATATATAAAAGAAAGATTGTATACAAGGATATAGTACAGGAAGAAAGAAAGATGTGAAGCAGTTTTAATCCCATAGTTTAAGGGAAGATAGGAAGTATATATATCTACGCCATTGTGATCGATTCTGAGCCATGTCACACAGAGTCTCCGACCATTGATTACGATAGTTGCACGGATTCCAATCAAGTAGTCTGCATCTACTAACAAGGCTCAGACTAGAAGTTAGTGATTTCAAGCTCTGATGCCACATTTTAGTCTGACCGTCAATAATTCTCTTCCAACCATCCCCAATACTAGTCAGCATAGCGCGTCGTGGTAATTGGTGTTCAGGCATACGTAACACGTGGCCCAACCATTACAGATTCACAACCTCATCAACTGATAAACTATCATTCCCTAATACCCTGTGTTTAACCTCACTATTACTTGGATGGTGATCCCAGCAGATACGATCAGCAACGGTCCGCATCACAGATTTAACAGTATCTGGAAAGTCAAGGAACACTGAAAATCTGTTATGATCTTCGTTGAAACTCTCCGGTAGTGAACACCAGTAACTGTATACGAGACGATTATCAGGACATTTAAATTTCAACCTGGTAGACATGGCTTTATACTAGAGACAATTTATGGAGATTATGAGTTTGTATCATAATCACTAACTGTCGAGGATTCTCAAAACAGATCATATAAGCGTCTGGAAGCTTTCAATAATTATTTAGTTATCAGAAGGGGGTTTTGTGGAGATTTTTAGTAATTTTATAGTTGAATTCATGAGACGATTGAAGCTAGACCACTATGGAAAACCTGGAGGCAATAGATGGCTATTTTGTCCTAGTGTAAGACTCCTCAGAAGTGTGCATCTACGATCCTGCCCCGTGAGATTCGACCTCAGGACCTATCGGTCTCGCGCGCGAACACATAACCTTTAGAAGTGCACTGCTGAAGAGTCCTACACTAAGACGAAACGGTCATCCAGTGCTTCCAGATTTTCCATCGTGGTCTAGCATCAATTGATTCATGAGTTCGATTATTTAGTTATTGTTAACTTTTTATAAAATCTAACCTACATAAATCCTTTTTTAATATCAATTTTCTCGTGTCAGTGTCAGGAAATACTTATACATCATACATGGTTTTAACAAAACGTTTGAAATTCTTAAGAAAATGTATATAAAATTAACATTGATAAATCATTAGTTGATCAATTCTCAATCAAACGGGTACTGGTTGTTTACTTCCCAGTAAAGTAATAATTTTTCCTAATGAAAAATAGTCATATAACTTAAATATATAACTTAAATATATATATATAAATATATATAATGAAACTGTAGACTATGATGCCGTGCTTCGTTAATCATCCACCTCGATAACCGTTATAATACAATTCTTAACGGTGCATAAAATCAGAAGGAAAAACGAAGCGGCAACTACAGTTTTATTGACAAATGATGCACATTGTAGATGGCGGGTAAGCCAACTCGCTTTTATCAAGCGGTAATCAATATTTATAGTCAGATAAGAACAAGGTCAAAACATGACTCAAGATGGATGGGTAAATCCGCTTGTCCAGAAGCTAAAATAAAGACATATGGGCTTAACATATCAACCGACATTACAAGACCATCCAGTTTGATAAGTAATTGAAACTCACTAAGTATTCGATTCATCCAGTAAACAATTAACTTTATCATTTTACTGTTAATGTTTAAGTATGATTATGTTTAAACATTCAATGACGTTCAGTATATAAAAGTGTCTGTTTTAAAGATTAAATATCTACATATTCTTATACTTCAGTTATATAATGAAAAATGTAGTTTGTATAACACCACAAGCATCCTGTCATTTTAAACTTCCATTGAGAAATATGTAAATGAATATAAATTATCGACTAGATGGTTATATGTCACGGGAGAATATTTTCTTGAATGATGGTAAAGTAATGTTTTACAGACCCCCAAATATCCTGGTACGGCCGAGAGTGGGGAGAGTCCGCTCTCCCTCTCCAAATGCTCTCACATGGTCACGTGTATATAGCCTCTGACAAGGAAGTCCTACTCACTGCATTCTCGTGGCATTACTGTTGTTTACGAAAATGAGAGGACGAAAAGTGTATGTCTGACGCTCTAACCGGGTTGGTGGATACGGAACGTCCACCTAGGGGAGTTGAAAAGCCCTCATTCCAAACCAATATCCAGAGGGAATAAATGGCGTATGAATCAATCGTTGGTCACTGGCTACCATGGAACTGCGTCTCCTCACGATGCTCCACTGCCTTGTGGATCAGATCTTTAGGTCAAAGGCTCCGGGTGTGGCCTCCCAAGAAAGCCACCTGCTTCGGTTTGGGCACCTGGGAAGTATCACAGCCCTCACACAAATCAAGTGAGATTTGTGTGGCGTATATATATCTGGTGCTTCCTTGTACCAATATTTATGTGTTTAAATAAATAAATGTTTTACAGCTCTTATTCTCAATAGATTAAACTTTCTTAAATAATATTGTCCATGAATTAGATTATTAGCATGATTATACCACCTATAAATTAGTTTACATAACTTTAATTAATAGTCTATTCTATTTTTAAAAGAAAAAATTAAAATCCTGGATGTGGACTGCTGAAGAGTCCCATACTAGGACGAAGCAGCCGTTCACTGATTCCAGCTTTCAACATTCATCCATTCATGATCTCAATCGAAAAACCTAACAATCTCCAATACCCCATACAAAAATTCTTTTAACACAATTTGATCTTATTTTAGACGAACAGATTACCTTTTTTTACCCTAAATTGTTTCTTTATAATTATATATCTAATAGGTAGTTTGAAATCGCAATATGAATTGAGATATGAGAAACTATACCTATTTCTGAAATATTCTATATTTTCGACGTAAACGAAATTATGTGAATTATTTTTACTGGGGGATTTAAATTATCTCAGTAGTAGACATTTTCAAACATCAAAGAAAAACATTGTCAACTGATATTCGTAAAAGGAATGATATTCTGATGAAGTCATCAAGATATAAATATCCTAGTGAATGGAGTATAGATAGGACTAGATTTCAGTTATGGAAGTTTATGAAACTTTATCTAGTCGCTCAGTAGCGTGGATTGATTGGGGTGAGACTTTTATACGGTTGGATTCCGGCTCTGTCATCTAGTTGTTAAGCGTTCATTTAACAGATCGAAGGTTCTGGATTTCATTCCCAGTTTGTCGTTGCTGAATAACTCACTACTAAGATGAATTGGTCGTAAAGTGCGTCGAGGTATTCAATGGTTTTCTAACTTAGATTGGTTCGCAATTTCCATGAAGCTTTAATAAGTCATTTGGAAATAATAAATAGTGTTCAGAGCGACAAAACTGCTTCCCATTCATTAACCAGTATTAATAGTGTAGGCTGGTAAGAAAGTAGTTCAAGCGATTTATTTTATTGCCTTTATATGAATAAAATAATTACGCCTGCAGGTCTTTGAGGGCTGCTGCCATTCCCAAGACCAGGTAAAGGAGGAGGGTTTGGAATGGTGTCAACAACCCCATTCCGTAGAAAACAACTTTGTTAAAAAGACAGTGATCAGAATAAACAAATTAAACCATTTAAACTCTGGCCTCGGAGTTGAAAAATCTTCGTTCAGAAGATTTTCCATATTTCCCTCCACATTGTTTTTATGAGGAATCAGGTCAAAAATGCACGACTTTGTTGATTCCCAATATAGCAAAATTCAATGGTTAATGACTTTGAATAACATGACCTGTCAAATTAACTTCTAATTTAACCATAAAACCATTCATCTTGTATCGTTACAAGAATTACATGAAGATAATTTTAATCATGAACCGATTGGCTTAAATAACCTACTGATAAATAAAGAATTAATTCACTCCTTTTCTAACTGTGGTCTCCGTTTGTGAATCATTGTGTTCTATCGGAAAATCAATCCATCAGTAAATCAATATATTCCACAGTATTCTTGTATTGATTTATATATCTGTAATGTATTTTTTACTCAATCTTTTATACTTTTCTATCAACCTATTTTCATGACGTTCCCTAGTTAAGTATTTACCGAACTACATTCATAGATTTAGTGAGATAAATCAACTCTTGTGTAGTTCTGTCACAAGGTAAAATAGACTTTCTAGTTGCCTTCGTTTATTTCTTGTGACTTCAACCAGTAAAATACTTTTTTGTTGTTTCCATCACTGATATTCAAAGGAATTATACATTTTCAGCTT